AGTTTGGCCAGAGAGGGAAAATCTAGGCAAGGAGACAGATCTGAGCACTTGCTGGTAGCCTCAACTGCAGCGGCGGCGGCTGTAGCTGCCATACCTACAACACAGAGAGTCCAGGATAAAGGCCCCAGATGGAGCAGACGAGCAGATTCTACTCAACACCAGCAAGAACTGACAAGGAACAGATATCTTCATCCTGCAGATTGCAGACCAGAGATGGCCCCAGAACCAAGACTCTGGCATGAGTAGAACCCTGACATCCTCAGTCCTTCTCAGGGAGCAGAGGAGTGTAGACCACCCCTCTCCCCCCCCCCAACCAGAGGTCTCCATCTTTGATACTGATAAAGGCCTGACTGAGCAACTAGCTCCAACTCAGGCCTTGGAAGAAAACAAAAGATTCATTTAACAGGTCACAGGAATCTGACCTGACCTGCCAGGCTCAGCTCCACCCAGGGGAAAGTCACCCAGCCCAGGCAGAAAAAGCTGCACACCCAGAGGTGTGACTATCTTCACTGGGTAAACAGAGCCAGAGGCTGCCCCTCCCTAGAGCAGCCTAGACAATCAATTGAAATTCTGTAAACATAAACTCTGAGAATGGCTCCAGGTTGGACTCTGTGAGTATCTCAGAAGCTAGCCCCTCAGAGAAAAGCTACTGTTTGCTGAAAGGCCTCAACTCTACCCAGAACCTAGCCTCATCACAGCATCTCCAAACTAGAGGAAACATCCATCTCCCTCTTGTGATACTCAAAGCAGATCTCTGTCCCACTGAACTAGCCTGGGAGGAGAATCACAAAAACCGGGGTAAAGCAGAGCATTTTTCTGCCTGCTCAAACAAACTGACTTAAACCAATCAAGCCAAAGGAAAACCAAATACCACAAGCAGATCTCAGACTCCACCACGAGACTTGTTACAGACAAGGATCTTCCCATTCCACCTCCCCCCCCCAAAAAAAAAAATCAAAGAACTCTTTTTTTGTACTATTTTTAAATTTTAATTTAAAAAATTTTTTGTATTGATATTTTTCCTCTCATAATTTTTATTTTAGGTGTATGTGTGTTTGTGTGATTTTTAAAAAATATCTTTTGACCTTTTGGTCCTTTTTCATTTTTTTAATTTATTTTTTATTCTTTTCATTTTTTCTTTTTCTTTCTTTTTTGTGCGACGTAACAGCTGAGCCAAGCAGAAAAGTTCAGATAAGTTGGTGTTAGGTCAAATGAACCCCAAGATAAGTATTCAAATATTTTTGCTGTCTTGCAATTGTGTCTAACATATTTATAAGATGATTTCTTTGTTGCTTTGTATGTCCCTCCCACACGGTATAACCCCTGTTTTCACTGTATTTGATGGTGGTATAATTTGTTGAGGGGAAGGGAAAAAACAAATTGGTCAAATAGGGATTCAAGTGGAATCATTGTAACAATGATATATACAAGTCGTTATGTCGAAAAACGAACTTTACAACTTTGGCTGGGGGCGGGTTGGGGGGCGGGAATGGGAAAGGATGGGAAGGGGAAACAAAAAGGAGGCAAAAATGTTTGATAAGAAATGTACTCAATATCTTGCTCATGTAATTGTAACCCCTCTAATATGGTATTTTCACACACACACACAAAGACAAAAATAAATGTGGTATATATACACAATGGAATTCTATGCTTCCATCAGAAAGAATGACATTGCCCCATTTGTTAGGAAATGGAAAGACTTGTAAAAAATTATATTAAATGAAGAAAGCCAGGCCCAAAGAAACATAGGTCCCATGGTTTCCCTTATTTGCAATAACTAGTGTATGTCTGAGACAAGCAGAGAGATCAGATAAGTTGATGTTAGGTGAAATGAACCACAAGATAAGTATTCAAATGTTTTTTCTCTCTTGCAATTGTGTCTAACATATTTATAAGATGATTTCTTTGTTGCCTTGTATGTCCCTCCCCCATGGTATAACCCCTGCTTTCACGATTTGATGTTGGTATAATTTGTGGAGGGAAATGGAAAAAACAAATTGTTTTAATAGGGATAGAAGTGGACCCATTGCATCAATGAGATGTACCAGTTGTTATGTCAAAAAATGAACATTCCAACTTTGGCCGGAGCGGGGTGGGGGGAGGTGCGCACGGGGGTAGGGAGATGGGAAGGAATGGTAAGGAGAAACAAAGGAAGAAGCAACAATGCTTGATAAGAAATGTACTCATTACCTTGCCCATGTAATTGTAACCCCTCTGTACGGTATTTTCACAATTAAAAAAAATGTAACCCAGGAACAGCCCAGAATTCCCTCTTTGTCCTAAAATACAACAGACTTAGTGTGAGGTGTAACCTTAAGCACAATATCAACAGTCATCCTGAAAATGATTTAGTTGACATTCAGTGAAAATGTAGTATGCATTTCACACAGAAAATTCACGTTTTACTGGGCACCAGTGGCTCATGCCTGTCATCCTAGCTACTTAGAGGCTGAGATCTGAGGATCACAGTTCAACGTCAGCCCATGCAGGAAAGTCTGTGAGACTCTTACTCCTATTAACTACTACAAAACCGGAAGTGGCTCTGTGGCTCAAGTGGTGGAGCTCTCCCCTTGACCTGAAGAGTGTAGGGACAGTACCTAAGCCCAGAGTTCAAACCCCATGACCGACAAAAAAGTTAATATTTTAATTTTATTAAATTACTAAAAACTGTTCCCCAACATACAATTTGGTGATGCAAATGTAGGCAAACAACTGGGTGTGTGTGAGTGTGTGTGTGTGTATGTGTATGTATGCTTGCATGTGAGGGGTGTTTTCTGTGTTGGGTGGCTTTACACTAGAGATGTAATCTCTCTTCTTGTAGATATTCAGATTTACTGCTATTTCTTGGGCCATTTTTTTCTAGTCTTGGGGCATGAACTCAGCCTGGATGCTGTCCCTGAGCTTCTTTGCCTCAAGACTACTGCTCTACCACGTGAGCCATAACACCACTTCTGTCCTTTTTGAAGTAGTTCCTTGGAGATAGGAGTGTCATAGACTTTCCTGCCTGGGCTGGCTATCAACTGTGATTCTCAGATCTCAGCCTCCTGAGTATCTAGGATTACAGGCTAGAACCACAGGTATCCAACTTTCTGGAGTCAATTTTGAAAGCAGTAGTGTTCCTATAAAGTTGAACATTTTTCATGTATGATATTTGATTTGTTTTTAATTGTTAGAACCCTTTCTCTGACTTCCATCTCTCTGTCCCTCTCTCCAGGTCTGTCTGTCTGTCTCTCTCCCTGTTCAGGAAATGGAGGGGAAAGGGAAAGGAAATGGCCAGACTCAGTCCTCAACAGGTTAGAAACAATCAGGGCTTCAGCCTTCTTGCAGTTATGGAGATTAATTCAGGAGGTGGTTTCAGAGTTAGGCTTTTGTGTAGTCTGAGAAAGGAGAGAGGTTACTTGAGTTCAGTTCAGAGGAGGTGACCGCAGGATCAAGCAGAGAATAGGTTGAGTATTGTGGTAATTGAGTCCTTTATCCAAGGTCTCAAGCTTTTTTAATTGTTAAAATAAGTTTTATTGAGATTAAGTTATTACATGAATTTCACAGATTTCACAATATTATGAAAGAGTGATATTTAAAGTCACAAACATATTTTAACCTTTACAAAGCAAATTGTCATTATCATGGTCTATAATATTTGTGAATTCTATAGAATTTGACAATACAGCTATTCCTTCCACATGATATGTACATTTCTTTCCTTTTGCTTAGTGTAAGCTGTTCTCTCTTTTCCTCTCATTACCTCCCTCCCATCTCTGCCCTTGAGTTGCTTAGTTCATTTTCATCAATGTCCACTGCAGGTGATGGGCCCCTCTGTTGTATTGTTTCCTGTTTCCCTCTGATTTGTGTCCTCTTCCTAGCTTCCCTCAGATGTGCGCGCGCGCGCGCACACACACACACACACACACACACACACACACACAAACACACCATATATGAGGTCAAGAACATAGAGTCATTTAGAAATGATTGATGACAATGAGATGTTACTTATACATCACTCATCAGCACATTGCACTTTGACTTTGGAATATATATGTATATATATATACATATATGTACATATATACACACATATATATGGAATATATATGTACATATACATATATATACACATACACACACACACACACACACACACACACACACACATATATATATATATGTATATATACATTGCCAGTCCTGAGTCTTCAACTCACATCTTGGGTGCTGTACATGAGTGTCTTTAAGTTGGAGAATAGTGCTTTACCATTTGAGGGCAACTGCACTTCTGGCTTTTTGTTTTTCTTCTGTCGGTCATCTGCCTGAATTCTGGGCCTGGGAGCTGTCCCTCAGGTTTTCAGCTCAAGGCTAGTTCTCTACCACTTGACCCGCAGCTCCACTTCTGGCTTTTTCTGCTTATATAGTGCTGAGGAATCAAACTCAGGGCCTCATGTGTGCAAGGCAAGCACTCTATCACTGAGTTCCCTCCTAGCCCCTTGGGTCTTTTTTTAGTAATATATTTTAAATAAGAGTCTTATGGACTTTTCTGCCTGGGCTGGCTTCAAACCACAATGCTCATATCTCAGCCTCCTGACTACCTAGGATTACAGGCATGAGTGACTGGCATTTCTTTAACTTTAACATTGTGCTTGGCTAAGGAAACATTTACATCTTGGAGACAACAGAAAAAAGAAAACCTAAAATCTCACCAAAGCCATTTGCTCAGTTTGACACTTTTATACAATTGACTTCTGTTCCTCTACTCACTTCTAATGAGATCATCTTGAAAAGTTTTCCCATACTCTCTGGACTTTCCTCACCATAGGCCACATCTGTTTGAAAAGGTTGAGGAAGTTCATTGGTGCTCATCAGTATCCACAATTCTCCAGTGTTTGTCATGGGGAAACAATGTTCCCCATGCACACAATGTCACTGCACTTCCAGGTGACATGATGAGCATGCCCACAGAAGAGATGAGTTCACATAGTCCTGAGCCTTTATCTTGGGGCTCCATGGCTGAGCACACATGCTGTGACCACTGCCTCTGCTCCTCTGTCCTGTCAGCTAATTCCTACTGGGTAAGCAATTATTCTTCTCAGGCAAGTGACAGTAGTCAATGGAACTCATCAAGAAAATGCAGAAGTAACTTCTCTGTAAAATGTGTGTGCTGTGTGGGGTTAGAATGAGGCACCTGTCTTGTATTTTGCATATTTTGAACCAGCTTTGCATCCCTGAAATGAATCCTGTTTGATCATGGTGTATGATTTTTTGGATGAATTGTTGAAGTCGATTGGCCAAAATTTTGTTGAGAAGTTTTGCATCAATATTCATCAAAGAAATGGTTGTATAGTTGCATTTCTTTGATGAGTCCCTGCCTGGTTTTGGGATGAGGGTTATGATGGCTTCATAGAATGTGTTCGGTAGTGAACTTTCTGTTTCAATTTCACTGAAGAGTTGGAGGAATATTTGTGTGAGCTCTGGTTTGAATGCCTTGTAGAATTCTGCTGTAAAACCATCTGGTCCTGGGCTTTTCTTATATAGGAGGTCTCTTATTGCTGTTTCAATGTTTGATATGGGCCTGTTATGATGGTTTAACTCATCTTGGTTTAGTTTTGGAATGTCCATGTTTGCTAGGAAAAGGTCAATTTCTGCCAATTTCTCAAACTTAATAGCATAAAGTTTTGAGAAGTATTCCCTTATAATGTTCTGAATCTTGGTTGTTCCTGTGGTGATGTTACAATTCTCATCTCTGAGTTTATTTATTTGTATGTGTTCTCTTCTTTTTCTGATAAGATTTCCTAAGGGCCTATCAATTTTGTTAATGTTTTTGAAGAACCAACTCTTTGTTTTTTTTGATTCTTTCTATTTTTTTGATTCTAATTCGTTTAATTTTGATTTAATATTAATTATTTCTTTCTGTCTACTGGATTGTGGTTTATCTTGCTGCTCTTTTTCAAGGATGCTCAGATGTCTCATTAAATTGTTGATTTCAGATCTCTCCAATTTGTTGATGTAGGAACTCAGAGGTATAAACTTGCTTCTGAGTACTGCCTTTGCTGTGTCCCAGAGGAGCTAGTAATTTGTGTGTTCATCTTTGTTAAATATCATGAACATTTGAATTTCCTTTCTAATCTCTTTCTATGACCTGCTGGTGATTCAACAGTGTGTTGTTCAGCTTCCATGTGTTACAGGACTTTCTTTAGTGGCTTTTGGTGTTGAGTTCCAATTTTATTCCCTTGTGGTCTGAGAGAATGCAAAGTATAAATTCAATATTTCTGAATTTGGACAAGTTTGCTTTGTGACCTAAAATGTGGTCTATTTTGGAAAATGTTCCGTGTGCTGCTGAGAAGAACGATTATTCTGATGCTCCTGGGTGAAATATTCGGTAGATGTCTGTTAAATCTAGTTCATCTGTGCAGTTATTTAGATCTTCGGTTTCTCTGTAGACTTTTTGCCAAGTTGATCTATCTAGTGGGGATAGTGGTGTGTTAAAGTCCCCAAAATTAATGTCTTTGCATCTATGTGAGATTTGAGGGAAAGTAGAGTTTCTTGGATAAATTTGGGTGCTCCGTTGTTTGGTGAATAGATCTCTCCCGAAGGAGAGATTCCTCAATTAGTATGTAGCAACTTTCTTTATCTTTTCTCACTAATTTAAATTTGATGTCTAGTTTATCTGATATTAGTATTACAACTCCCGCCTGTTTATGGGGGCCATTTGCTTGGTAGATTTTGTTGTAGCGTTTCACTTTCAAAATGTGTTTGTTTTAATGGGCAAGGTGTGATTCCTGAAGGCAGCAGATAGAAGGATCTTGCTTTTTAATCCAACTAGATAGTCTATGTCTCTTAATTGGAGAGTTAAGTCCGTTAATGTTGAGAGATAGGACTGAGAGGTATTTGGGAGTTCTTGACATTTTTTTTTATTGTGAAAATACTGTACAGAGGGGTTACAATTACATGGGCAAGATAATAAGAACATTTCTTATCAAGCATTGTAGCCTCCTCTTTTGTTTCCCCTTCCCATCCCTTCCCATCCTCTCCCCGTCCTCCATCCAATCCTCCCCACCCCTGCTCTCCCTACCCCCACCCACAGCTCCAAAGTTGTAAAGTTCGTTTTTGACATAACGACTTGTACATCTCATTGATGCAATGAGTCCACCTCTATCTCTATTTAAACGATTTGTTTTTTCCCTTCCCCTCCACAAATTATACCAACATCAGATACAGTGAAAGCAGATGTTATACCATGGGGGAGGGACATACAAAGCAACAAAGAAATAATCTTATAAATGTGTTAGAAACAATCGCATGAAAGAAAAAAAAACATTTGAATACATATCTTAGGGTTCATTTCCCTAACATCACTTTATCTGACCTTTTCTGCTTGACTCAGACATATACTAGATATTGCAAATAAGAGAAACCATGGGACCTATGTTTCTTTGGGCCTGGCTTACTCCACTTAATATAATTTTTTCCAAGACTTTCCATTTCCTAACAAATGAGGCAATGTCATTCTTTCTGATGGAGGCATAGAATTCCATTGTGTTGGGAGCCGACAGTAAAGCTCCAAGGTCATCTTGACCCTTGTGCTCACTTGAAGGCACGTACAAGGAACTGGCTTTCATGAAAAACACCAGGTTCCCGGGTTTGCTTTGCTGTCTATAGAGTTTGTTTTACTTTCTATCAGTTGACCTTGTCTTGTTTCAATCTGCACCTTGTTTTTATAAAAATTTTCCTTGCTTCTCTGCACTATGGTGACCTTAGGTTACCTCTAGAGTATATAATAAGGAGAGTAAAAAATAAACGGTGCTGTAGTCTTGAGCTGCAGACCTCCCGACCCCATCCTTTGTCTTATGTCTTTATTTTTCCATTCTCGCCCCCTAATTCAGGGTTCCCTTTCATTGCCAGCTGGTTCCAGCAAGTGGCGGCCGAACAGGGACCCTGAAAACCTGGGATCAAAGCAGAGGACCCCGCTAAGGTATTAGGACGTGTCCAGAAAAAGAGCAGGTGATAGTATAGTCGGGAGTAAGAAATTATGGGGCAAGGTAACAGCCACACGTTGTATGTGCAGTCTCTTAAGGGGCATTCAAGCTTGAGGAGTGAAAGTTGGACAGAGTCAATTAGAGAGTTTCTTTTGCTTTATCGAGGAAGTATGCCCCTGGTTCCCGGAGGAAGGAACCATTAGTTTAGAAACTTGGCAAAAAATAGGAAAAATGATTCAGGAACATTATGATGCAAGTGGCCCTGAAAAAACCCCAGTGGATGCTTTTCCTCTTTGGAATTTAGTTTGAGACTGTCTGGACCCCAGACATGAACAAATAAAATTTAATCAGTTGATTGGGGAAGTTGAACAGGGTAACAAGTCTCACTCTGCTCCGGGAGCGCATACTGCTGCCCAAGAGAAATCAAATAAATTGATAAAAGTTGAATCTATTGGGTCAGACAATGAGGAAAAGTCAGATGGCTTGGATGCTCAAGAAAAGTCAGATGACTCAGATGCTGAGGAAAAAATATATGATGAACCTATTAAGGATAAAATAGTCCATGTTGAGGAAATGTTGAATTCAGTTATAAAAAAATTGTCACAGATTGAAACAAAGCAACGACCCCCTTTAAGGGTGAATGTTTGTGAGCCCTCTTTAACAGCTCTAGGGGACTCAGATTTCTTTCTGTCACCCCCTCTGCCTGTTATTCCCCAGGCACAGTCTACTCCATCTGTGCAGCCTAGTCGGCTCAGGCCTTTGAAGTTATCTAGACCTCCTAATGATGAATTCCCTCTTGGTACAGGAGCTATTCACCATGCCAGGCATAGTGCTTTGCAGCTCTCATTAGCACAGGCTGCTCAAAGAGGGGAGGATATTTCTGGTTTTCATTTATTTCCTGTAATTGAGGACCAAAACCAACAAAGAACCCATAAAACGGTACCATTGGCTAGTATTGCCTCAAGGCATGGCAAATAGCCCCACTTTGTGTCAAAGTTTTGTAACACGGGCTCTTTCTTTTACTCACCAAAATTTTCCTTCTGTTTATATCATTCATTATATGGATGATATATTGTTAGTTCATTTAAACCCTATAGTACTAGGACAAGCTTTTAGACAATTAAAACTAGACCTGACCTCTTTTGGATTAATTGTAGCCAATGATAAAGTGCAAGAACATCCTCCGTTCACTTATCTTGGTTATATTTTGGGTCCTTATTATTTTACTAGTCAAAAATTACAGATTAAAACTTCTCATTTGCGTACTTTACATGATTTTCAGAAATTTCTGGGAGATATTAATTGGCTTTGCCCTTATCTTAAATTATCTACAGCTGAATTAAAACCTTTATTTGATTTGTTAAAAGGAGACCCTAACCCTGCATCCTTCAAAAAATTAACAATTGAAGCGGCTAAATCTTTTAAAATAGTAAATTCTCCGATCTCTTCCCAACATATAAATTATACTGATTATTCAGCTCCTTAAAAAGCTTATATTTTAACTACACCTCATTCTCCCACAGCGGTCCTCTGGCAGAAAGGACCCCTTTTATGGCTTTCTTTATCTGTTACCCCCTCAAAAGTATTAACTCCTTATTATGAATTGGTGGCTACTTTAGTCCACATGTGCCGTGTGGAATCTTGTAAATATCTCGGATGAGATCCACCTGCTATTTATATTCCCTATACAGAAGGAATGGTTTTATTTTCATTGTGATTCCTGGGCTATTGCTTGGGCTAATTTTATGGGCACAATTTCACATCATTATCCCTCTAACAAATTGCTTCAATTTGCCTCTTCTTACACTTTCATATTTCCTCGGGTGGTATCTTTATCACCTCTTTCTATGGCTGCCCTGGTGTTTACAGATGGATCTTCTAATGGAATGGCTGCTCTTCCTATTGATGGAAATACTACATCCTGGGATACTGGTCTTTCTTCAGCCCAGGAAGTTGAGCTTCAAGCAGTTTTACAGGCCCTTATGCTTCTGCCTACTAGTGCTTTTAATTTATATTCAGATAGTCATTATGTTATTCGAGTCCTTCAGGTTATTAAAACTGTCCTCTTTCTTGGAACAGCAAATTCCACTATTCAAACTCTTTTTTGCCAAATATATCTTCTTCTTCACTCTCGCACTTGTCCATGCTATTTTGGATTTATACATGCCCATACTAAACTTCCTGGTCCATTAAGTGAGGGCAATGCTATTACGGACAAGGCTACTCAAGTTTTTCTTACTCAAATTGATTTGGCAAAACAATCACATGCCATCCATCATCAAAACAGTTGTGCTTTATACCAACAATTCCAAATCACTCGTGAGGCAGCTCGTCAAATTGTAAAGACCTGTCCTAGTTGTACTACTTTCTTACCAGCGCCCTCCATTGGAATTAACTCTCGAGGTTTAGTTGCCAATCAGACCTGGCAAATGGATATTACTCATATTCCATCCTTTGGACCGCTTTGCTTTGTTCATGTTACTATAGATACTTATTCTAATTTTATTATGGCTACTCCCCTTGCTGGGGAGACTAACAAGCATTGTATTTCCCATTCTCTGCATTGTTTCGCCACTATGGGACTTCCTAAATATATTGAAACTGACAATGGTCCAAGCTTTTGGACAAGCTTTTCAAAATTTTTGTAAGTCTTATCAGATTATTCACACAACAGGTATTCCCTATAATCCTCAAGGTCAAGGAATTGTTGAATGAGCTAATGGTTTGCTCAAACATCAAATTTTTAAATTAAAAGGTAGGGAATTATACCTCATCTCTCCTGTTAATATTCTTTCTCATGCTTTGTTTGTACTAAATTTTTTAAACTTAGATTGTAATGGCCTTTCCATAGCACAGTGGTTTTGGGAAAAAAGAGAGCAAAGAGCTTTTGTTCAAGTTAAGTGGAAGGATCCTTTAACAAGTGCTTGGCATGGGCCTGATCTGGTTTTAACATGGGGTCGAGGACATGTTTGTGTTTTCTTGCAGGAAGAAAATGACACCTGATGGTTGCCTGAATGCTGCCTTAGGATTGTGGAGGCTCATTCAGATGACACAAACGCTGACACATTGGGCTTACATGCCAGATCCCCCGATTGTGCACCCAGCAACCTGGGAGGGAGTACTTATTCATGTTAATAGATCAGCATACGGTACAGCCCCTGATCCTTTCATCCAATATATAAAAATGGGAGATTTCTCAGCTTCAGTTATTGGAACTCCTTTATGCTTTAGCACCAATTTTAAAAGCTCCATTCCAGGCTGTACTTTTATGCAATCCATGATTCATAAAATTTGGATCCCAGACAAAAATCAAATGTACAATATACCAATGACATCCTTGCCAACTGGCCATTTAGTTTACACAAATTCTACTCCATCCTATAGGATACCCCATTGCATTAATTCTTCACAGATAGTAGAATCTACAAGAGAGCCTTATCCAACAAAGCGCAGGCATGTGCAGTCATTTGTTACCAATATTTCTGGAACTAATTCTCAATTAATGGATTGGTCTGGAGCTAATCTTACTAATAAGTTCAATCCTGGATTGTGGTGGATGAATGGGCATCCTCAACATCATGTTTGGATGTTGGTGGCTGCACTGAATAATATAACTTGGCCCAATTCATCCCTTTTAAAAAATATTATGAGTTGTGTATCACCATCCCATGTTATTATGTATGGACCGTTTAATATTTCTGTAGGAGCTAATTATTTTAATGTTACCTGTTTTAATTGTTCTTTTACTAATTGCTTGTATAGCAGCATAACTGAATCCATATTTATTGTTAGACAACCACCTTTTGTTATGCTTCCTGTAAATATTTCTGAAACTTGGTATGAAGATTCTGGTATTCAGGTGTTAAAACAATTGAAAGAACTAATGTGCCCTCGTAGATTTGTTGGGCTACTTATAGCTGGTGTTCTAGCCTTTATTTCGTTAGCTGCCTCCTCAGCAGTAGCTGCTGTGGCACTAACTCGAAATGTACTAACTGCCCATTATCTTAATCAGCTTGCTCATAATACTACACAGGCTCTACACTTTCAAGGTAGGATTGATGATAAGGTAGAACAAAAACTAGAAGCATTATATGAGTCAGTATTGTCTTTAGGAGAACAAGTTCGCGCTCTGCAAACTTTACAGTGAGTGCGTTGTCATGCCAGGTTTGATTTTATTTATGTGACTCCTCATATATATAATGAATCAAATCACTCTTGGGAAAAAGTTGTAGCACATCTCAATGGTATCTGGCACCATAATAACTTGTCTTTAGATCTTTTTCAGCTTCACAGGCAAATAGCTGGATTAGAACAAGCCCCATCGCTGGACTCTGAAGTGGCCAAAATTGCTAACGAGCTGTTTGAACAATATCAATGCTATATCCCTTCCCTGACTAATGTTAAAGAATTGTTAATGACATTGCTTGGCCCCGGTGCACTTTTATTGATGGTTTTTCTTTGCCTTCCTTGTATTATACGTGCCCTGCAAAATTCTCTTATGAGTTTAGCCAGCCAGCTACATAAGATCAAGCTCCAAATAAATGAATTCCCCCTGAGAGGAACTGCAGCCAGAGATGGGTAAGAGGGGGTGCCAGTCTGACCAATCTAAGACAGGGCCTTACGCTTTGCTTTGAAGAATTTCCCAAAGACGGGTAAGGCAGACAAGGTCATCCACCCAACCTAAGACAGGTGGGTTCTCTTCTTCAAACAAAGATGGGGGAGATGTTGGGAGCCAACAGTAAAGCTCCAAGGTCATCTTGACTCTTGTGCTCACTTGAAGGCACCTACAAGGAACTGGCTTTCATGAAAAACACCAGGTGCCCGGGTTTGCTTTGCTATGTCTGTAGCGTTTGTTTTATTTTCTATCAGTTGACCTTGTCTTGTTTCAATCGCACCTTGTTTTTATTAAAATTTTCCTTGCTTCTCTGCACTATGGTGACGTTAGGTTACCTCTTGACTTCTAATAGTATATAATAAGGAGAGTTAAAAATAAACGGTGCTGCAGTCTTGAGCTGCAGACCTCCAGACCCCATCCTTTGTCTTATGTCTTTATTTTTCCATCCTCGCCCCATAATTCAGGGTTCCCTTTCATTGCAGGCTGGTTATGGCACCATTGTGTATATATACCACATTTTCTTGATCCATTCATCTACTGAGGGACAACTGGGTGGGTTCCATATCTTAGCTATAGAAAATAATGCTGCAATAAACATAGTTGTGCTGGTAGCTTTAGTGTAGTCTTGTTTGCAAACATTTGGGTAAATGCCCAAAAGTGGGATTGCTGGGT